AAATTAGGTCAAGGTCACTGACCTTTAATGACCTTGGTTCACCTTTACGAGTTTTACATGTTTCTAGGACAGTTTTTGGAGCTGATTTGATTTCGAATTTAGCATTCAGTTCAACATTTAAGAAGTTATAGTTTTAGTGGATTCGTAACATGTTACGACGCCATCAGTGGTGGTGGACACCTACTATGGATAAGCTACTTTACTATGGATAAGATACTTTACGTATACCTATATGGTGCTCTTAATAATCGCCGCCAACGTTTTAGACCGATTGTTCAGTCTGTGTAGCTATGACGGGCATTATAACTTTTCCTAAGGTAAGGCCACTTGGACGTAACCTGGTGACCTAACCTTGAGTGACCTGGGTCTGAAAGTTATGCAGCATGCGTGAAAAAGATGCATGAAAGGGTGTGCTAAAAACGGCGGCGCTCCACAACGCCGTTTTCGAGATATTTACATAAACCTACATGGGGTGTCCAAGCATCCCCACCGCCCGGCGCGGATAATTTTTTGCACGTGCAGAGCGCACCTTTGGGGTCCACCAGGAGATAGATATGCTCAATAACTATGCTGGAATGCATTCTGGGTGGCCTGTGTAAATTTGGCACTTTGAGCTTGCCAGCGCTACCCGCCCTACCCGCATGTGTGACACAGAGTGCAACAACATCAAAAGGTTTGCACGTGCACAGCACGTGCACCGTGTACCCAAGCACGCCTATTTATACAGCACCTTAAAGCGCGTGTCCATCAGTGTCAGTGTACCAAATTTGGTGTGCCTAGGTCAAGGTTTTCCGGAATCGGAGGATGCATCCTCAAAACATGTTTTTCGCCCCTGGCGCGTGCATTCCGCACCCCCTGCTGCCGAGCATACCATATGGTAATGGTCAAACACCGGGACATGTGACCTGTGAATTTGGCACCTGTGCCGTCCACCGTTTAATTTGGAGCGTCGCTTAAAGGTTTTTGCCCTTACCGACTTTGTCGGCACGTGGCACGCGCCACGTGACACCGAATGACCTGTGTCATGCATCATCACCTGCCTCAAAGCATTACCCATCGAACAGTACCACCAGCATCTCGATCCGATCATCCGTTTAGACGCAATTCCAATTGTAATGGTTCGATGACCTTTCAGAGCATGGGTTTTTGGCAACGTAAAATGGCGCCTTGTCGGCTTCACCTGAATGGAGGTGGTTGCGGGTCCAGTTTAATTATACGTCCGTGGTAGGTACCAAGGCTATATAAACCAGGTAGAACGCTCCGGGAAAAAAGTTGGAAACAATAAATTAGTTGCGGCATTCCCTGATGACGCGAATGTGGGTCAGCGGCCGGCGGCCGGCGGCCGCTAACACTGTATGAGGATGCATGCACGGAACTTTTGCTTGTTGGAGATTGCGCTAGGCAGATAAATGTTAATGTTAGGATATGTTTCGAAAGTAAATTGAACGACGCTTCGAACGCCGTCAATGAATTTGCGATACGACAACTATTTGTTTAGTTAAAGCCGGCGAACTTTTACCTTCCGACCGCGCGGGGAGGCGATACGGCGCCACACTGACGGTTTTTACGATAACTCAAAATTCTTTTGAGCTAAAGAGCTGAAATTTGACATGTACAATCTTTTGATCAAGCTGGATCTTCTGGTATAAGTCGCATATTTAAGGTACGTCAGGTTGTTGACCTATGTTATCGCTCGTGAGCCTCTACACAGTCCAAAAGCAACGCAATTTCTGGACACTCAGTGCCAAGAAATCCTTCACAGAAAGATGACACTTGGCAGAAAGAAGAGCTGTCGGTTTCTTACCGTTCGTATGTGTCGTGTTTTCACAAGAGTTTAGTAAGGTCAGGTCCCTCACGTGACCTCCCCTCATAACTCAATAGGTTTACTATCATAGAAGCGTTTATCAATCGCCGGAAATCTTAGCCAATCCCACTGGACACTGGATCTATACCCACATGGGGCCCTCCTGACTGGTCACTCCCTCTGAAATCCACAATAACATTGGGCTGCGGCCACGGTTATGTATTAATGCTTTTCACTAACAGAAATACAACTTCAACCAACACAGTGCACGCCGCCACAACAGTCCGACCCACGTCCCTGATATCGACTAGCACTCGGCCGGATGATATATGCGGAGCCAATCAGTCCGAATGTGACCTGCAGCTTACAATTGCTGTGTCGCATGGCGCATGGCACAGGATGATTCCTAGCAGCTGTCGGGTGGAGTGGAGAAACAGCACGTTGCGACACACCGCGCCGGCGACAGAGCTCAGCAGGCCTGGTTGGAGGCTGGAGCCGGAGGTAAGGGCGGACACAGGCACAGACATTGCAGGACAAATAACAGGATGTCAGTTAGGGATATAATTCAAGACGAATGATTCAAGACGGCCTGAAATAATGCAAATTTTGCTCACTTGGATACCAACTTCAAACTTGACGTTTATAGCACCACGGCAGCGTCCCAAAATTTGTTGATTTGGGTGCGAAATGACATCCAGCTGAAGTCATTTTCCACTCTCACCTCCAACTTTTCAAAACAATTTTCTACTCTCAACAGTCAACATTACCGAGAAAAGCATTGTGAGGATGGCCATTTTGCATCGTACATTTTACCACACTCTTATAGAAATTTATGTTACCATAGATAACAGTAGAACTACTGTTCTACTGTTATCTATGATGTTACCTATCCTTTTATCACTCTTTTTGGGCCTTATCTGACCAGCAATTTTGCACTCACATCCCCCTTTTTTGCTGAGAAATTTTCCCCTCCGACACCCAAGCCAGAATGGAATTTTGGGACACTGCACCACGGAAACAATGGGCGCACAGAAAAGAAACAAAAGATGGGGTGTTTCTAACGCAAGAAAGTAAATAGAGGCTGCATATGATGGAACAGCCCGAAGTGCAGACAAGCACATATTTTTGGTAATAGCTATCAGCCTATCAGCTGTCATTACTCTTCTCCCTTGATCAACTACTGGACACATCTGAAGCATCATATATAGGTAGCACCAATGTCCATAACAAATGCTTGGAAGTAGTTTTATGAAGCCAAGGGAAATACATGCTAACATGCCTACATCATGCATGTAAACTCAAAATTACACACTACACAGGCATGACAAAGGAAGCTTATGTAAAGAGAGTAGTTAGCAAAAAACATTTCATAGTTAAAATAATTCAAAACTGCACAGTGCACACAGGGCAAACATAAAAGCAGTAAGTGTGCACTTTGCTGTTCAGTTATGCTAAGAAATGGTTCAAAACAAAATACATCTTTTCATGTTTACTGGTTGTTCTTCGCCACTTCACCCATATCTTGATTACAGATGGGCTGTTACTGTAGGCTGATGAAGTGACACTTGGTTGCCTTTGTGCGAGTTTCAGTTGCAGCCTCCTAGGTACTGCACTGGAAAGCAGATGAATGCCTCTGAAAGATAGGAATATAGGCAAAGTTAACTGTAGTAGTGTCAATGATAATAGACATGACATTTTTGTCCTTTGACATACATTTGTTGAAGTAAAAAAAGGTACAAAATAAATTGGTTTGTTTCAAGACACGCTCACTGCACAAAGCCGCACAGACATTACACAGGCATATGAAATTGGTACACATAAAACTTGATGATTAAAAAGGTCAAAACTAGCAATAATATTAATTGAAGTAAAAGTTACAATCACAATCATTTCTTCATTTAAAATGACTTGACATAAGTCACAAGACGCAACGCTCCTATTCACTAAAGAAAAGTTTTTATGCTTTCATTATCCTCCACATATCAACCATCTTGATACTAGGCTGTGCAATAGTGGGTACATAACCCCATGTTGCCATTTTATTAGAGCAAGTGGGGTTACAACAACAATGATAATGTCAAACCCACATCTGCAACCGTACTGCAGTTTCAATCACCTTACAAGCACACCTTCTGGCAGTTTGATAGGCAGAATGGTCATTACTACCTTCTCCTCATATTCAACACATATTCCCTTTATACAGATACAGTTAAGACCTGGTTATGGCAAGCATTTTCGAGAAAAGATAGAATAAGAGTCCAAGACAAAGGTCGAGAGAAACAACACCAACATAAAACACCGACTATGTAGCACTAATACTGTCAAATTCATAAAAATATATACATGAGTCGATCAGAAATTCACTGTAGATTTTGAAAATGGTGTCAAATGCCACTCAAATATCCCCATTCGCATGCACGAAGCAATAAAACACTGACCTTCAGTTCCGCGTGCCATTCTTCATAGGCCACTGTGTATTAAATAACGCGTTCACTGATCGCAAAAAATGAGACCCACATATGACGCGTTTGCTACCAGCCAATCAGCGCTCGAGATGCCGAGCGCTGATTGGTGGAGAGGGCCGTCGTTAGCAGTCCATTACATGTCGTTTTCCTTGAACATGTGCGTGAGCGCTGATGCTGCTCACGGGCTGTTGCCATTTTTCGTAATGCTGAAGGCACGGGAGCGAACCCCCCTGAGGGGTGTTCACGGGCACCGCACACTGCTGCGTGCGGTGTGTGCGGTACGTCCAGCAGGCGTGGGGGTAGGGGATGGGTAGGCGGCTCTGACGTCACGGCTGCGTGCGGTGGACGGTCCGCTGTGGCCAGTCCCGACCGGCCACAGCTGTCGCTGTGTGCGGTGACGCAAGGCTGACGTAGGGACGCAGTGGGCGGAGCTTGGAGGCTGTGTGCGGTCCGACCGCACACAGGGTCCGTGAACAGCCCTCTGATAAACCGTAGGTACTGATGGTAGCGCGGTTTATTTATTATTTATTATATTTCGGTGAATGTTGTGAATCAAAGTGTTTTGAAGCTGATTTTTATGTAATTGACCGTGGAGAATCAGTATAGCATCGTCGAAATTGTGCTACTTTAATGAAAAAACTGAAGCATTCCCCGGTAGATATAAATTGATTTTTTTTTCAGATTCCTTTCCATGCCTCCAAAAAACTGATGATTCTGTAGGTTCTAAGCAAGGTTCTAAGCATGGGCGTCGAAACCGGGGGGACGGGGGAGTAGTAAAGTAATCTTAGACGGAGGGACTCATTCCCCCTAGTCGAGGAATCTGGGGGGACGTCCCTCGCAAGAAATATTCTAATGAATGATTTAAAGGGTGACTTATGAATTGGTATATAAAAATTGGCCTTTTGTCATTTTGAAATGAAATTCAGATTTAGAATTTGGGTCATATGAATCACTGGTACTGTAGGTACCCTTGCTCACAGGGCTGCAAAGTAGATTTAGTTTTGGTAACTGCGGATCTGGCTTAAAAAAATCGCTCGGAGTCTGACTCCAACCCCCATCTCCGACCACGGCATCCCTCAACCCGCATCAAACTGAAAAAGTTGTGATGTAATGCTTTTGTCTCACTAAATGCTTCTTGGCACATTCAAAGAATACATTACCTACAATGATGAATGAGGTGCAGCTCTAGACTGTCTGTCCCAGGTTGAGGTCCTTGACAGGGAGCCAAAGCTTCAGTTGTAGGGGAGACCACATCCAACAAGGGCTGAAGATCTGTCCCCAAAGTCTCAGGGTGGGATGACAGCTTGCAGAGACCACACATTTTAAGATCTTCGCAACAGTCAAAACTCTCAGCTCACTCTCAAGCGGCCTTCTTCCCGTTTGAGGCCATCCGACATGAATAAAAGGTCTCACCAAAGTCACCATGGCCTTTGAACGCTTTATGCTTGAGTGTGAGAGCCGAGAGGACCTTGTCCCGGTCTGAGAGGGCCCAGGAGGCTGTAATACTCAGTGTGGGCCTACATTGGTTTTACCACGACCCCTACAATCTGCAATCACCACAACGAACAGAATATCCAGCTCTTATCCGACCCATCCTCGGGAAACTGTTGATTGCTTATACCTGTATACTGTCATCCATGCGTGCCGTATAACACAAATGGATGCAAACGGGCTTTATTAGATATTTCGAATAACCAGCCAGGAGCTTGTCTTGAAACCAGAGTACGATGACTCCGACGTTAGGTTCGAAGTCAGTTACGATCTCGATGACTCCAATTCCGTATCCAACCAAAACCGTAGACTACGACCGACCGAAGTCGACTCCAACCCCGCAGTCCTGCAGTTACACTGCACAAGGTTTCCAACTTCTTGGAAATAAGCTGTACGGTTGGCAGAGGACCACATGATATTTTTAGAGGAAGGGCTGCTTAACTTGGTGAACAGAGCTTAGCTGTAGGGGTATCAAACTTATTAGACGGGATGCAAAATTCATGCGTTTTTGAGCTGTTTTCCCCGGCGTTTTTTGCCAATTTTCGCGGCGCGAAGTAGAAAAGAAACATTGTGACTAATGACGCCTTCAGGCTCCACGCGGGAAGAACATGTGTATGCGTTACAAGTAATGCGTAGGCCTGAAAATGTACGGTAAATAACTTTCGGGTTTTTGTCAGTCAATCCGCCCCCCCCCCGTCAAAAATCCGTGGCGACGCCCCTGGTTCTAAAAGATCTAAGTGTTGGCAATGAATCAGCTGGCCATTCCGTAATTTGATCGGCACTAATCTGTTGACCTATTGATCTAGTTGATTTAATGGCACGCTCTCCTGTGGCGCCTTGCCCTGTGGTGAAAAAATGTAACCCCGTGTTCACAGTGTCCCGGACGACAAAGATTCCGCGTGATCTGGCCAATGGCGTTCGGGAACCGCGGCCAAGCCCCGCTGATCTTCAACATGATTGGCCGGACGGCGTAGAATCTTCGTCGTCCGGGAGACTGCGAACCCGGGGTAAACAATCTGTGGGTGGATATAGGAAGTGGCGAATGTGTAAGGCAGTATCTATGACAGTATCTAAGGCAGTATCTATGTCATAGTACCTATGACCGTGGTGTAAGGACGATGATATGAGCGTCAATTACTATTTATATTGTTATCCTTATTATACATTCTTATCATTTTGATTATGTTCACGAGTTTTCTCTGTTGATGTAACATCTAAAAAACGGTGTGCTTTACAGCTAATGCTCAGTGCCAGATTGAAATAAATAATAAAACTTTTATTTTAGTTAGAAGTATAGGTATAGAAACATATGATAAAAACATAATATTGTTTCTTTCTAGAAATGATTGAAAGAACCTGGATAGGAAACTCCTATTCTCATGAGCAGCGTTCCGGGCGATAGCCCTGTCACCAGGTGGGGACTACTTCATCCTAGGCGGTGTTTCACGGGACGCTGCTACCACGCTGCTATCAAATTGCGCGAGCTGACGTCACACTTGCGGTAGTGTTGGAGCAATGGGCCTGTTGATGTTTCCATGGAAACCCAATTTGACACGTGTAAAAGCAGCGTGCTGCTATCACCGGTGAAACAGGGCCCATGATATTACGCAAAACACGCAAACTCGCAAAAAAAAAACGCACGCAGAAGATGCATAGTATAGCCAGGCCTTAAGTATCAGTATCACACAGTACCGCAAGCCACCGTTCCGTCGTTTCCATCCTCAGGAAGTCAAATCCTTCTTCTCCACGCCTCAAATCCTGTTCCGGGCTGGACGGGCAACTTTATCCCGTGCAGCGGCCTCGCTTCATGTCCCCAGAGCAGCCCTCTGACCTGCCGGGCCCGAGAAATCGGGATAGCCCCAGCGTGCGCACCAGTGCGGTTCCACCTGGGGTGCGTGACAGGAAGCGTGCGGTCAAGGCTGTCCCGCGTAGCGGGTGCCGAAAACGATTCGTACCACTCCCGTGTATATAGTTAGTGTACTAACCCAGTATGAATGTGTGCTACTAACGACAAAAGCCCGGGTCGGGCACCAAAAATATTAAAAAAAAAACTTTATCCCGTGCAGAAAGTTATCCCGCCCTAGGGTGCCCACCCAGACCTATGTCTCCCCCTAATTCCTATCGTCCTTCTGGCTCTGAAATGGTCCCGTCGGACGGACGGGAAAGGGCCCTGCCCAACAAAACAAACTACAAAGTAAACTAAGTATCGCAATTCAGTTTGGAATTATTATAACTTTTAAGCATAAACTATAATAAAATTGTAGCAAAAAACTAATTTGAGGAAAGTGGTTCCTATTTTTAATTTAATTTTCCTTTGATGTCCTCAGTTCGCTCTTCACATTTCTCATATTTGTGTTTCAGCACGTAACTTGAAGCATTGGTAGAAATACGAAAAAAATCAAATGAAACCTGGTAATCTGATTGATTGGTAGATTACCAATTACAGTTAATCATGGCCGCCTGTGACATTGCCTTGGAACTTTTAGAAACCATACTTCATTCTGTATTATATCTACGCAAGCTCTACCCTGAAGCGATTTTCCGCAAGCGGCAGAAGTACCGGATCCCCGTGCACATGTCCGTGCACAAGGGTGTCAATGAGTACGTGTCGGCCAGTGTGCGCGCGCTGCGCCCCTACTTGGAGCGGCGGCTGCTCGAGTCGGTGTCGGTGGTCGTGACCGACCCGGCCGGCCGACACTTTGAAACGCTCGCCGTCGAGCTGCGCGTGCTCGACGCGGCGGCCATCTGTGCGCGCGACGACCCGTGCCTGGCGCGCCTGGAGGCGTCGCTGTCGGGCCTGCTGCTGGGTCTGAGCGCCACGCTGGGCGACTGCGACCCGCCGCCGGCCGGCTCCACGTTCCAGCTGCAGGCCGCCGCCAGCCGCTGTCTGCCCGAGTCGCTGGACGCGGCCGCCGAGTTTCCGCTCACCATCACAGACTCGGCGGCGCCGCACGGACCCACAGCGGCGGCCGAGGACGGGCCGGGGACCGAGGGCTGCTCCGTGCTGCCCGTCCGTTCCGTTAGAAACGAGCTGTTCGCGCTGGAGGTGACCCTCCGCAGACCGACTGGATGACGAGGGGACCTGTGAAGTGCCCCTCCGTGGGCTGACCGATGGGTCTGTGGGGTGACCCTCCATAGACCGGCTGACCGGCGGGTCTGTGAAGTGACTGTGAGGTGACCGTCCGTTGGCTGACCGATGGGTCTGTGGAGTGTGGGGTGACCCTCCATAGACCGGCTGACCGGCGGGTCTGTGAAGTGACTGTGAGGTGATTGATGGGTCTGTGGAGTGTGGGGTGACCCTCCATAGACCGGCTGACCGGCGGGTCTGTAACCGACACACCCGCGAGGACCCGAGCGATGGCTGCTGGACTGACTACGGACTGTCACTGTAAAGGTGTATTTCATACCCAGAGATGGATGAGGGAAGCTGCCTTTTGGCATGACATGGAAAGATCAACTGACTGGCTAGGCAGATCCCTAGCATTCTGTTCCGTGCATTTGTGCTTTTTCTGCAACGTGATACTTGTTCGAACAGTTCGAAGTTGATGTGACGCTGCCTGGCTCATGCTGGTGTCAGGTGTTTGTATGTTTTCCGTGAAAACAAATCACTCCATCGTTTGCTCTTTGTTGGTGCGTGAATGAGGTGTAATTTTGAGTTAAATATGCAATCTGTGTGCTCCGCTGCTTCATAGTTCGCTGTTTATCCGCTCGATTTTCTTAAAAACGCTAGTAAGGCTCTGTAATGCTCCAGTCGTTTTGGTGGTCATGCCCTTTGGCTCAAGTCTCAATGTTTGTTTTTTTATGCAATGAAGCATGGCTGGTTTCTGATATCATTGCGCTGGTTTCATTTTGATATCATGTGTTGCGTGACTGTCGTTAACAATTCCTAAATATATTCCTGCGTTTTTGCCTATTACAAAGCAGCATTGATAGCAATCGTGCGACACACCCTGTTCAAGTGTGAGGAATTCAGAAGCCTGGGTCAGTATCTTGATCGGATAACGATGCACCACACTTGGTAACGTTCACTCATACTAACAGCACCCGAAGCAAGATTATTTTGCGTTGAGCAAGTTGAGTGCTTTCACTCAATAGTGAATTTCTTTCAGTCAGAGCACCGATTTAGTTAGCAAGCCCGTGAACAATAGGCGATCTCCCTCGAAAAACATACCCTGTCGAAAAACCACCTGCCCGAAGTGGGAAACAATGTCTGTGTGTGGCGTCTGGAGCAGCCGACACTAGCTCATTACGTCGGTTCGCCGTTTGTTCTTCATGACTACCTACCGGTCATGTCAGACACGGCTATCGTGACATTGTTTTCTTCTCCAACTTTGCCGAACTTGACGGTGATTAAGTGCTCTCGTTGGTTTCACAGAGCGCCATGATGCTGAGCTGAGATGTTTGGTATCGGCTGGGTGCAAATCGCAAGACGTGACTCCGGTGTCAACCATTGCCACAAGCAGAAAATGCCCAAGACCGGACCGGCCCCTAAGCGCGCCAGACGTAAGCAGCTGCATTTATAGGAGGTCGGTTTGCGACCGATGTGTTCCGGGCTCTTTTCACTTTTTATTTTCCGTTTTTAAACCCTGTGACTGATCGTACTGACTGATGTGCGTAATTCTGTATGACCTGATTGACTGAGGTCGGTGCTCTGTAATTCTGTGTGATCCTCTGACAGATCGGTGCTCTGTAATTCTGTATGACCCTCCGAGTGAGATCGCCCCCGCTCACCACTGACTGAGATCGGTGCTCTGTAATTCTGTGTGAGCCTCTGACAGATCGGTGCTCTGTAATTCTGTATGACCTGACCAACTGAGATCGGTGCTCTGTAATTCTGTATGACCCTCCGAGTGAGATCGCCCCCGCTCACCACTGACTGAGATCGGTGCTCTGTAATTCTGTGTGAGCCTCTGACAGATCGGTGCTCTGTAATTCTGTATGACCTGACCAACTGAGATCGGTGCTCTGTAATTCTGTATGACCCTCCGAGTGAGATCGGTGCTCTGTAATTCTGTATGACCCTCCGAGTGAGATCGGTGCTCTGTAATTCTGTATGACCTGACTGACTGAGATCGGTGCTCTGTAATTCTGTATGACCTGACTGACTGAGATCGGTGCTCTGTAATTCTGTGTGACCTGACTGACTGAGGTCGGTGCTCTGTAATTCTGTATGACCTGACCTTCTGAGGTCGGTGCTCTGTAATTCTGTATGACCCTCAGAGTGAGATCGCCCCCGCTCACCGCTGACTGAGATCGGTGCTCTGTAATTCTGTATGACCTGACTGACTGAGGTCGGTGCTCTGTAATTCTGTGTGATCCTCTGACAGGTCGGTGCTGTGCAGTGTGCAATTCTGTATGCCCCTCTGAGTGAGATGTGTCCCGTCGCCGCAGTGCCGGCCGACGTGCCGGAGACGGCGGCGCGGCCGCAGGTGCCCGCGGTGCAGTATGTCCCCCTGACTGATGGCGTTCTGCCCTGTCGCCGCAGTGCCGGCCGACGTGCCGGAGACGGCGGCACGGCCGCAGGTGCCCGCGGTCCAGCAGCGCCACCGCTGGGACTGCGGGCTCGCCTGCGTCATGATGGTGCTGCCCGAGACCAAGCGGCGCCACTTCAGCGACAACTTCGCCGCCGTCTGCAGGGAGGAGGGCTTCGGCAAAAGGTGCGCGTGGCAGTCACTACTAGGACTTGGCTATTCTTCGATGTAATACTCCGTTAAATAAGATGAATTTGGCTATTTTATATTTCAATTGCATTTATTACCCAGGTATATACAGTTAAAGTCAATGTAGTACCGTCAGCACACACTGTCCCAGCCCCGTTTGCACCAAGCAGGTGCTCTTTGTCTCTGGTCTGACCGCCGCCGGCCGCCGCCCGTTCCCCCAGTACCTGGACGATCGACCTGGTGTACTTGCTGCACCGGTACGGGGTACAGCTGCGGTACTTTACCATTACGCCCGGTATCGACCCCGGGTACCACCGACAGAGCTTCTACGGGTACGGCAAGGTGCTGAGGATGGTGAGTATCCCTGAGTAGCGCGGCTAGGGAGGGTTATTGATACTTACTCCGAGGTACTCAAAGTGGCGAGTCGTTCTTTCCGCTCCAGCGTCTTGGATTTAACTGTTACCTCTGTCAACCCGTCGAATCCATAATGCCCCTGCAGTGTTATCAAGCTATTCCCATCGACATTTTTCAGTTCTGTTGGTGCTGTGCTATTCAGCTCGTGCGGTGGCTGCCCACTGCAGGACGTGTCTCACCAGTCCCCTGCCCGGCTGTGTCGGGCAGTCTGTGCGTTAGATGGCTAGGTCAGTGGGTGCGCTGGCTGTTTGATTCTGAGCGGCCGCGTCCGCCCCCGACAGGACGCGGCGCGTGTCACGGAACGGTTCGAGAAAGCGGCCAGTCTGGGCCTGCAGGTGGACGTGCGGCCCGTCGCCGCCGAGGAGATCCTGCGCCACCTGGCGCTGCACGGACCGGTCATCGTGCTCACCGACGCGCGCTTCCTCCGCTGCGACGTGTGCCGCGCCAACCAGGCGGGGTCAGAGCTCAGCAGCTGCTTCCCGTGCGCCTCCGAGTACAGGGGTGAGTGGAGCTGCTGCCTCCGAGTACAGAGGTGAGTGGAGCTGCTGCCTCCGAGTACAGGGGTGAGTGGATCTGCTGCCTCCTCCGAGTACAGGGGTGAGTGGAGCTGCTGCCTCTTTCCGAGTACAGGGGTGAGTGGAGCTGCTGCCTCCGAGTGCAGGGGTGAGTGAACTGCTGCCTCCGAGTACAGGGGTGAGTGGAGCTGCTACCTCCGAGTACAGGGGTGAGTGGAGCTGCTGCCTCCGAATACAGGGGTGAGTGGAGCTGCTGCCTCCGAGTACAGGGGTGAGTGGAGTTGCTGCCTCCTCCGAGTACAGGGGTGAGTGGAGCTGCTGCCTCCTCCGAGTACAGGGGTGAGTGGAGCTGCTGCCTCTTTCCGAGTACAGGGGTGAGTGGAGCTGCTGCCTCCGAGTGCAGGGGTGAGTGAACTGCTGCCTCCGAGTACAGGGGTGAGTGGAGCTGCTGCCTCCGAGTACAGGGGTGAGTGGAGCTGCTGCCTCCGCGTACAGGGGTGAATAGAGCTGCCCTCTCCCAGTACAGGGGTGAGTGGAGCTGCTACCTCCGAGTACAGGGGTGAGTGGAGCTGCTGCCTCCGAGTACAGGGGTGAGTGGAGCTGCTGCCTCCGAGTACAGGGGTGAGTGGAGTTGCTGCCTCCTCCGAGTAGAGGGGTGATTGGAGCTCAGTAGCTGCTCCCTCCGAGTACAGGAGTACGATATACCTGTCGCGGTGCACAAGTGATTGTACGATTCTGGGTCGCGCTCGTGTAGTCTGGCGGAACGGTCTTCAGGAGACACCGCTCTGAGGAATAGTGCCGAGACGCAGTGGACGACTGCTCATTGGTTCTCGGAGCGCTCTTGGGATGTATGTGAACAAATGACAGTTTTCTAGTCTCTTTGTGTTATGAGGCCCGACGATCTTGCTCTGTTTGTATGATCATTTTTTTTTTCTTCGAACTAATGAAGTCACACATTTTGCATTTTATGCTAGGTTTGTTTTACGATGCTGATCAGTACGATGTTGGATGATTGTCACTGATTCCACGGTTTTTCAGGACATTATATCGTGCTCTACGGCTACGATCTTCCAAAAGGGGTCGTCTTCTACCGGAACCCAACGTTCAAAGACCGTAAGTTTTTGCTAGTGTTGATAGACTTCTATCGGAGCAAAAGTTAACCATTCAGGATACCGAATGCCACCTTTTGCCACTTCATGTCGGACATATGCTACTCGCATATTAACCACCATCATTTTACTTGCAAAGCACACGTTGAACAGTTTTACTAACTACATCACATGTCTGCAGTTTTTCATTCAGCTAGCAAGTTCTAGCAACGCCTACTCGAGTCATGTGCATAAAATGTTTTAAGACAATATAACATCCAGTAAGACATGCCTCCAAACCGTTTTCCTCTTTGTGACAGGCGAGGATGCATCTGGGTATCAGAACGCGTCCTGTGTTCAGGGGCTGGTTGGTAGCCCATGGTTTGTCTGATCACCCATTCTTTGCCGCGCCATCCGCCAGTGTGGTGTGTGCTGAGTAGTTCCCCCGTCTGCCGCCCGTGTGGTGTGTGCTGAGTAGTTCCCCCGTCTGGCGCCAGTGTGGTGTGTGCTGAGTAGTTCCCCCGTCTGCCGCCCGTGTGGTGTGTGCTGAGTAGTCCCCCCCCCCACCCCGTCTGCCGCCCGTGTGGTGTGTGCTGAGTAGTTCCGCCGTCTGCCGCCCCGCCAGTGTGGTGTGTGCTGAGTAGTTCCCACGTCTGCCGCCAGTCTGGTGTGTGCTGAGTAGTTCCCCCGTCTGCCGCCCGTGTGTTGTGTGCTGAGTAGTTCCCCCGTCTGTCGCCCGTGCGGTGTGTGCTGAGTAGTTCCCCCGTCACGCCAGTGTGTGCTGAGTAGTTCCCCCGTCTGCCGCCACTGTGGTGTGTGCTGAGTAGTTCCCCCGTCTGCCGCCCGTGTGGTGTGTGCTGAGTAGTTCCCCCGTCTGCCGCCAGTCTGGTGTGTGCTGAGTAGTTCCCCCGTCTGCCGCCAGTCTGGTGTGTGCTGAGTAGTTCCCACGTCTGTCGCCAGTGTGGTGTGTGCTGAGTAGTTCCCCCGTCTGCCGCCAGTGTGGTGTGTGCTGAGTAGTTCCCCCGTCTGCCGCCAGTGTGGTGTGTGCTGAGTAGTTCCCCCGTCTGCCGCCAGTGTGGTGTGTGCTGAGTAGTTCCCCCGTCTGCCGCCAGTCTGGTGTGTGCTGAGTAGTTCCCCCGTCTGCCGCCAGTCTGGTGTGTGCTGAGTAGTTCCCACGTCTGTCGCCAGTGTGGTGTGTGCTGAGTAGTTCCCCCGTCTGCCGCCAGTCTGGTGTGTGCTGAGTAGTTCCCACGTCTGTCGCCAGTGTGGTGTGTGCTGAGTAGTTCCCCCGTCTGCCGCCAGTCTGGTGTGTGCTGAGTAGTTCCCCCGTCTGCCGCCAGTCTGGTGTGTGCTGAGTAGTTCCCACGTCTGTCGCCAGTGTGGTGTGTGCTGAGTAGTTCCCCCGTCTGCCGCCCGTGTGGTGTGTGCTGAGTAGTCCCCCCCCCCCCACCCCGTCTGCCGCCCGTGTGGTGTGTGCTGAGTAGTTCCCCCGTCTGCCGCCAGTCTGGTGTGTGCTGAGTAGTTCCCCCGTCTGTCGCCAGTGTGGTGTGTGCTGAGTAGTTCCCCCGTCTGCCGCCAGTGTGGTGTGTGCTGAGTAGTTCCCCCGTCTGCCGCCAGTCTGGTGTGTGCTGAGTAGTTCCCCCGTCTGCCGCCCGTGTGGTGTGTGCTGAGTAGTTCCCACGTCTGTCGCCAGTGTGGTGTGTGCTGAGTAGTTCCCCCGTCTGCCGCCAGTCTGGTGTGTGCTGAGTAGTTCCCCCGTCTGCCGCCAGTCTGGTGTGTGCTGAGTAGTTCCCACGTCTGTCGCCAGTGTGGTGTGTGCTGAGTAGTTCCCCCGTCTGCCGCCAGTGTGGTGTGTGCTGAGTAGTTCCCCCGTCTGCCGCCAGTGTGGTGTGTGCTGAGTAGTTCCCCCCCCCCCCACCCCGTCTGCCGCCCGTGTGGTGTGTGCTGACTGCTGAGTAGTTCCCCCGTCTGCCGCCAGTGTGGTGTGTGCTGAGTGCTTCCCCCGTCTGCCGCCAATGTGGTGTGTGCTGAGTAGTTCCCCCGTCTGCCGCCAGTGTGTGCTGAGTAGTTCCCCCGTCTGCCGCCAGTGTGGTGTGTGCTGAGTAGTTCCCCCGTCTGCCACCAGTGTGTTGTGTGCTGAGTAGTTCCCCCGTCTGCCGCCAGTGTGGTGTGTGCTGAGTAGTTCCCCCGTCTGCCGCCAGTCTGGTGTGTGCTGAGTAGTTCCCCCGTCTGCCGCCAGTCTGGTGTGTGCTGAGTAGTTCCCACGTCTGTCGCCAGTGTGGTGTGTGCTGAGTAGTTCCCCCGTCTGCCGCCCGTGTGTTGTGTGCTGAGTAGTTCCCCCGTCTGTCGCCCGTGCGGTGTGTGATGAGTAGTTCCCCCGTCTGTCGCCAGTGTGGTGTGTGCTGAGTAGTTCCCCCGTCTGTCGCCCGTGCGGTGTGTGCTGAGTAGTTCCCCCGTCTGCCGCCAGTGTGGTGTGTGCTGAGTAGTTCCCCCGTCTGCCGCCAGTGTGGTGTGTGCTGAGTAGTTCCCCCGTCTGTCGCCAGGCGAGTGCTGTATGTCTCTGGGCGCGCTGGAAAAGTGCCGCCGGAGCTACGGCACCGACGAGGACCTGATTTTCGTGTACGACTCGTGGTCCAGCTGAGACCGGCCGGTGGTGACGTGTACGTCCTGCAGCGGCCGCCTCTGCTCAGTGACCGCCGGCGACAGGTCAGCGCCCTCTGCCGCGGGCAGCTCAACTCGGACCGCTCTCTGACCAGACGCTCAAACCGCCTCACAATGCCTCGACTAGTGCCAGTGCCTAGTGGAAGTAGTGCTACTGCCGACTACGTAGTGCTTCGCCGCTCCATTTCTGGCTCATATCAGCTCTACCTTCGGGGCTTTTCGCCGCTGTGTGCCTGCCTCTGCTGCGGTGCGTCGCCAACGCGTGAGCGTTGTGAAGTACACCGCACGATCCCCGCTCCAGAATCATTGCACTTCCACTGGACACCGCAGCCAGCGGGTCCACCCCCTCTTCTGGTGCACCCGACAGCTCCACTGGACCATAGCTCACCACTCCATCGGACCACCGCTCACCACCTGGACCACCCCTTCCCACTCCACTGGACCACCGCTCACCACTCCACCGGGCCACAGCTCACCACTCCACCGGGCCACCCCTCCCCACTCCACCGGCCCACAGCTCACCACTCCACCGGGCCACCGCTCACCACTCCACCGGGCCACAGCTCCCCACTCTCCACTGGACCACAGCTCACCACTCCACCGGGCCACCGCCCCCCCCCCCCCCCCCACACTCCACTGGACCACTACTCACCACTCCACTGGACCACTGCTCACCACTCCACTGGGCCACCGCTCACTATTCCACTGGACCACTGCTCACCACTCCACTGGACCACCCACTATACCGGTCCCACTAGTCGCCCTGCAGCCTGGTTCAGCCTTCTCCACTGGTCCACCCCCTCTCCCCTACTTCAAGTCTGTTGCATCCCCTTCTCCACTGGTAACCCCCCTCCACTGGTCCACCCCCCCCCCCCACTCCACTGGACCTCCACCCCACTCCAATGCATTCCGGAGCGTCTCCCCAGGCGGAGGATCGGCGTTAGGTGTTGGACGTCCGGCACCTGACACCGCTCCGTGGGCTGCGTACTCAGGGCCTGCCGACGGGTTCAGTCGCCCGTCGACTGGTGTTTGTGTAATCAGGCGCCGGACTGCGGCTGAGCGATACAGGACGGGATGGGACGGGAGGAGACGAGAGGAGATAGGAGACGGGACGGGACAAGATGGGACACGGGTCGGGACGGGACGGGAGTGCATAGTCCGGGAGTGCATGTGGTGAAGTTACTCATCGCGGCTGGCAATACGGACTGCGGTGGTGATATGTTCAGACCGCCACCGGTCAGCTGTCTCCTTACAAGTGTGCCTGTATGCTTGGGATGGGAATCTTTTGGGTATGGCTGGGAATGAGTAGGACACGAGGGACCAAGCAGCACCTATCAATAAGTGTTCTGTCAGTGTCGGAACCGGCACTGAAGCATTGATTCGGGACCACTCCGCTGATTTCTGTTCATTGGATGGATAAATGTTTTATCGGGAATCGTTGATTATATCTGAAGAGCTGACACTTAGGTGTCGTTGGATGACATACAGTGATTTATATTCTTAGTCATATTATTCATCATATACCAAGCTATAAGATTGTGGTTAATGGTGTTAACTGTTAGAGATGCCGCTCATCTCCCATAGCTGATGTGTGCATAGACTGCCCAGGTGCCTTGTGACGGTGCCCTGATGTCGTTCGCTGGCTGGCAGAAGGGCCGCGCGCTGTGGCATTTATCCAAATCACCCTGTGATGCACGGAGTGCCTATACTATACTTAATGACAGCCGTTGTGATTTCAGCGAGTTCCAGCTTTGTATCTAGTCTAGCTTACACCAGCTATTGGTTGTATACCTATTTTTGTAATACATTGCTCAATGAGTTATCATGTTTGTCTGTATGAGGCCTTACACTTTTTATTAACGACTTATGCCAATCCAGCTTGGATAACTTTTTATCTTTCAGTCTGAGCCTGCATCTGCGTGCATTACGGGTTTAAGCGATTGCCTCTGTCGGATGTTATTCATCTCACCACAATGTGTGGGTAAAAGTATCGACATGTATCACCTGCGAACCGTTTTCACCTTCCATCGGCTGGAACACTGCGTTCCTCGCCCGCTGTTCTCTGTTCCACTAACCGTAATCAAAGATCGGGTGAGCGATGACAATAGGCACGGATTTCGATTAGGGGCATTGCTGCTTAGGATCAACGAGTCTCCTGCGAATGTATCCAGCGAATGTTTCCGGCTGCTTTTGGACTCATGTCTGGTCTCTTTCAGCTCAGCGGCAACTGCGGTCTCCGTAAATATCTATTATCCATGTAACTACATCTCCATCCAAGTGTACGTACCTTCTCCACATACTCTGTATCATTTCCGTCGTGTTGTGGGGGTCCCGAGGATCGACTGTTATGAATCTCTGGTCAGCCGCCGTGCGGCAGGCGTCATCGTCACTCGACTCACTCGTCAGCGGGCGTCTCTAACAGTCGGCTGCCGTCACTGGCGGTCGGCTGCCGTCATCGTCACTCGTCAGCCGTCACCGGCGGCCGGCGCGTGGCCGGCAGGTGGCCGCCCACCGATGTGGGTCCGTCGGGCCGCGCTGGGAGTCGGGAGCCGGCTGCCAGATGGGGCGTGCCGCCGGGCCAGGCCGTGGCACAGATCCGGGCTGCGATCCCCGCCGCCGTCGGCCGGCGCCGCCCCCAGCCCCGTCAGCTGCAATGCACGGCCTCCAGCGGGCGGCAGGCGCGCCTCTGCTCCAACTGGCACGCGCCGCAGCTGTAAAAAGTGCCGCCGATGGGCCGCGCGGAGCCGTCGGTCGGCCGGCGGTGATCGGCGCCAGCTGGCGGAGCCGGCGGCGGCCGCGGGCGGCATCGCACAGCCGGCCCGCTCGGGGGAGCGCGCCGGCGGCACGCCAACGGTGACCGGCTTTGTGTCCGACTGTGGACGTCAGGCCTCAAATGGCATCGCTGTGGCGTAGCGTGCATTTCGATGGGCTGTTTTGTTACCGGGCCCCGCTCGGGGCAGCCAGTTGCGGTGTGTGGGTCGTCGGGCGAGCCGCCGATGACAGGAGCGTCCATTGGACGGCGGGTATTCGAAACAGGTGCTAAATGCCCAGTCAGCGCTCTCAGTGGCGCCGCGTGAGACCGGCCACGAAAGTTGGCCGCCCGACACGGCTCGGCAAATATGCTGTATGGGGCCAATCCGCGCGACTGATCCGTCCGAGTTTCAAATATAATTCACTATAAATTACGGCAAAGGAAATATTTTAGAAATCGATACATGTGGTCAATTTTCTTCTCAGTTTACTTGTCCTAATATGGATTGCTCACACAGCTACGCATGGTATCTTTCTTACATTTTCGGTGTTTCTCCCGAATAAATCGAAATACATCCGCGAATCAGAGCGTATAAGCCGGTGGCACTACCGTATTGAAGCTTTGGCTCGGGGAAATCATTAGGTACATATCACGAGTTGGCCGTTTGGCGGCTGCAGTTTCTGCCCCGGCGCCCGGTTACGGCTGTCTGTGCCGGCGCCTCCGGTAACGGTGGGGCGGTGTATGGGGCCGGGGTGGCCGCCAGCCGACGGTGGCTGCCGCACATTTCGTCACACCGTGCACTGGCGCGGCCGCGAATCACCGACACCGCCGGCGCCGCCGCTGCGGTTGTTGTTATTGTGGCCGTTGTTACGGTCTGGCCGACGGTTCTCCGCTCTTGCGCTGGGCTCCCTCCTGGGAACGGTGAACGTGGCTCGTGTTTTTAATTCAGTTATACATAGGTGTGGGGGCAGCATACTTGGAAGATGCATTCCCTGTTTTGTGTGGGAATCGTTAGGCAGGCTGCAGAACGCGGGGTTCTCCGTCTCTTCGTGGTAGAGCCCGTGGACGCTGAGTATCGAGTCGCTCCTGTGCTATATGCTCTGGAGTTTTGACGGGCTGGTCTGGTCTGTGGACTGGTTGGTGGGAACACCTACAACCAGTTAGTTACTGAGTGGAGCGAACAGTCTCCAGATATATGAGCAATAAGTATAACGACTGGTTTGGCTTCTAGCTCATCCCGACCAAAGTTGCCCCATGGGACGGCCGGGATCAGGCCGAAACCTTATGGCCGTGCGCGCCGCCTATCTCTGGCCCAGTGGCCGTGTGCCCGCCCATCTCTGCCCCAGTGGTGTGGTCGTGTGCCCCGCCCATCTCTGGCCAGTGGCCGTGTGCGCCCGCCCATCTCTGGCCCAGTGGCCGTGCTCCCCACCCATCTCTGGTCGGACAGTGGCCGTGTGTGCCCCGCCCATCTCTGGCCCAGTGGCCGTGTGCGCCCGCTCATCTCTGGCCCAGTGAGCGTGTGCCCCGCCCATCTCTGGCCCAGTGGCCGTGTGCCCCGCCCATCTCTGGCCCAGAAGCCGTGTGCCCGCCCATCTCTGGCCAGTGGCCGTGTGCGCCCGCCCATCTCTGGCCCAGTGGCCGTGCTCCCCACCCATCTCTGGTCGGACAGTGGCCGTGTGTGCCCCGCCCATCTCTGGCCCAGTGGCCGTGTGCGCCCGCCCATCTCTGGCCCAGTGGCCGTGTGCCCCGCCCATCTCTGGCCCAGTGGCCGTATGCCCGCCCATCTCTGGCCCAGTGGCCGTGCGCGCCGCCCATCTCTAGCCCATGCAGTGGCCGTGCTCCCCGCCCATCTCTGGCCCAGTGGCCGTGTGCCCCGCCCATCTCTGGCCCAGTGGCCGTGTGCCCGCCCATCTCTGGCCCAGTGGCCGTGTGCCCGCCCATATCTGGGCCCAGACCTCTGCTCCATAAGTGGCTTTGTGTACCCGGCCACAGCTGTCTCAGTGACAATCTGCCACACCACGCCCATCTTCCTTCACACGGCCCGGTGTAGTCCGTAGGTGTTCTGAAAGGGTGACTGACTGGCTCGCAGCTGAGGGCAGCCGGTCGTGTCGAGGCCGGCTCACGGGTGCCACCCCGCCCCGCCCCTCCCGGGCGGGTGCACGGGCGCGGTCGGTGGAGCGCCGCTTCCCGTTTCCCGGAGCTGAGGAGCACGTGCCGACCTCCGGCGGCAGCGGCGCGCGCCTCTCCGTGTGACGGTATCGGTCCGTTCCGGCCCGATCACTTTACGGCGATCTGCCGGGCTGCGCCGAACGGCTGACGGGCGCTGAGGGATGGAGACGAACGCTGACGAGCGCGACGGGCACTGACGGGCACTGACGGACGCTGACGGACGGCTGACGGGTGGCGACGACCGCTGAGCTGGCTCAGCTGGGCCGCTGCTCCTGCGGAGATCCGCGCTTTCGGAGCTTCGGAACAGCGGGAGATTCGGAATCTACTGTAATTGCGATCGGCATTGGTGCTCCGTGCTTCTATAGAGGCTGGTGCTGCTTTGATTCTGGGTGTTTCTTGGGTAGCTTTGAGTAGCTCGCAGCTACTGCGGCATCTGCGCGATCAGTTTCTGCCGGTAGCTGGCTGCACTGCTCCCGGTCTGTGAGCCGGTCGTGACTGCCTGCCGTACCGAGCTGCCCGGCCGGCCATGTGTTACTGGTTCTGTCAGCGCCTCATCGTGCCACTGCCGCTGCTGAGCGACGCGCCACGGTTGGCTGGCACCGCGGCTCCGTTTGACCCCTACCGACCTCACTGCCTCCCGCGCCACTCGGGAGGCGTTGGGAACACATTGCCAGGTGTAGAGGTCACTTCAGGTCACCCGGGTCACTGTGGTGACCACTCGGGAGCGTGGAGGAATCATGGACACGTGCTGGCGGTGGAGAGGTCATCCAGGTCACCACACCCGGCACCGCTCGGCGGGTTGTGGAACCCTGGACTAGTGGGGAGATCACTGGGGTCAGCTCTGACGCGACTGGGCCGGCCGGCGCGACCGTTCGGCGGCGCGTCGGGAGCCACTCAGCGGCTGTTCACATTCCACTCTCTATCAGAGCGCACCACTGATGGATCGCCGATGGATACGCTCTCCAGTAATGGACCGATTTACATTTGTGTCGGGGCGTTTACGAGCGGTTTGTAGCGTCAGATATTATCGTCAGAAGGCAGCGGAGGCCGCTAATTACAAGTGTGTTATGTGTCTGTAAGCAGGGCTGCGGAGTCGGAGTCGGAGTCGGAGTCGGTCGGAGTCGACAGTTGTGACCGGAGTCGGGGTCGGAGTCTGAGTCGATTTTAGAAACCCGAGCCGGAGTCGGAGTCGTAGTCACCGAAAATCTGTCGACTCCGCAGCCCTGCTAGGTCTGCGGAGTCGGAGTCGGGAGTTGGAGTCGGTCGGAGTCGACAGTTCTGCCCGGAGTCGGAGTCGGAGTCGGAGCTGGTTTTTGAAAGCCGGAGTCGGAGTCGGAGTCGGAGTCGCCGAAAATCCATCGACTCCGCAGCCCTGTCTATAAGTGTTCCTCCTCTCTGATGTTCACCTTATTACCGACTTGTAGTCCGTGCCCACCAACGCACTCGCTGTCGTCAGACTTTTTCCTCAGTCAGGTGGCTCGAACATGTTTATCTGCGTATCAATTAAGTGCGTCTCTTCAGTTTAGCGCCGTCGTCGAAGGTCTTTTAAAAGGCATTGGATATTTGCATGCGTATATTGGTACATTTGCTGCACTGAAGTTCATACAATGTTTCACAGTTCAGATGACACAGAGGCTGGGCTACCTGCCTGTTGTTCTATTAAAATCAACAACTAATCATCTCCTAAACTGCGATTACATTGTACCTTGATCGTTCCTGATGCTTCAGCAGTTTTCATTTATGCGGTATTCACATTGAACTCTGATATCCTAAACATCAGCTGTCTAAAACGATGGAAATATAAATAAGTTGATTAGGTATCGATAACGATTTACTTTGCATTAGACAACGATCAGGCAACGATCTGCTTGTCCAAACAAATGTTTATTACATATAGCTACAGTAGGTAATCACGATATGAACGAAATAACGTAACGCAGTAAATTCGGTTAACATGCCAGTCCCACCTCTCACATCACATGGTATAACAGCTCACAAATAACAGCTCATTGTGCTCCCACTGACACAGTAACAAAACAAACAATAACAGAACAACATCAAGGTCAGATGTAACAGAATGGCGGCATTGCCGAACATATACAAAACACAGCATCGTTCGTGTTACGGCAGCGTCATTTCAGTCACAAATGTATGTGCAATTGTCCCGTAAGTTCGTTCATATTTATAGTAAGCCTTTTCAATGTTTATGTGTTTCGATCGGTTGTGCGCGACTCGGTAGCGCGAGTTTTCGGCAGGCTGTTATCAGTAACGGTTAGCAGCAAACGGCGCATCATAATAACAAGTCACATCCTGATCCATTGCAACGAATTCATAAGTTATTTTTGACAAATCAACACTGAGTCACGGGTACACTCTCACTCGTGTCACAACTCAAAGTCCGTCAGTGTGGGTCGGAGCGCTCCGTGAGTTGTCAGCCACCGTGTGTCACTCAGCTCTGGACGGAGCGCGCTCTCCGGCACTGGAGAGCCGAGCGAGTGCGGGCCGCCGGCCTCAGGGCAGGTAGCCCAGCGAGGTCTCCATGTTCTGGTCCGAGTAGCCGTGCCGCGAGCGGCTCGTGCTGGAGCCGCTGACATTCTGCATGCTGCTGTAGGCGTCGTCCTCGCTCTCTGTGCCCAGCAGGTCGGTCGTCTGGTTCAGCTTCAGACCGGAGAACGTGGCCGCGATCTCGGTGGTCTTCTTCATGGAGATGGCGTCGGCGCCGTCGCGCGCCGCCTGCCGCTGCGACGCGCCGCGGTAGACGATCTTGCCGGAGGGGTCGGCCGCCGAGACGAGCAGGAAGCGGCCGCCCGAGCCGACGCTGCTCCGCGAACGGTTCGACGTCGTCGAGAGCGACGATGCCGAGTTCATCCTGTTGAAGATGAAGCCGTTGGCCGACTGGTGCAGGTTGTCGATGCTGACGCTCTTGCGGTCGGGCCGCGCGGCGGGCGGCGGCCGCGGCGCGCTGCCGTCGCTGTCGAGACTGAGCGCCAGGCTGCGGCTGCGCCGGCGCGCCAGCTGCGCGTCCTCGCCGTACTCGGTGCCGCCGCCCTTGTCGCGCATCACGCCCGTGGAGCTGGTGAGCAGCGAGGTGGAGCTGCGGCCGCGGCGCAGCGGCGCCGAGTCGGCGCTGTGCAGGGACGCGGCCGCGTTCTTCCGCCACGCAGTGGACGGCGAGTCGGCGCGGGAGAGGTTGCCCATGGAGCCGTACTCGCGCCGCCGGCCGCGGCCCAGCGTCGAGCGCGCGCTGCCGTCGGTCGTCTCGCTCTCCGAGTCCAGCTTGATCTGGTACACCTTGAGGCCGCTCTTGCTGACGCGCTTCAGCGAGCAGTAGCACTTTTCGCTTTCTGCGCAGCTCTCTGTGTCACAGGCGCACGGCAGGTCGTAGGTGGACTTGGCCTTGGTGAGGCGGCTGCCGGCGCGCGGCAGCGTGCAGTAACACTTGCTGGAGTAGACCGACTCGGAGTCGCAGCCGCAGTCACACGGCGACTCGGACGGCGGCGGCACGCGGTGCGCGCGCAACGGCATCGGCGTCTTGGGCACGGCGCGTGGCTGTGAGCCCGAGCCCGAGGAGGGTGCCGAGAGGCGCGACACGCCCGACCGCGAGTCCGCGCTGACGATGGCTCGCTCGTTCTCCGCACGCGCCAGCGCCGCCTTCTTTTCCGGAGCCCCGCGCGCGTTGTAGAGCTTCTTGAGTGGCGTGTGCTCGCGGAGGTAGGTGGACGGCGACTGGAAGCTGCCCGAGCGCGAGCTGAAGCGCGAGAAGGACTTTTTGGTGGCCTTGAGCACGCTGCTGATGGTGCTGCCGTCCGTGTCGCTCTCGCCCACCGAGGACAGCTTCTTGGTCTGCTTCTTCATGATGTGCTTGCTGCGCTGGTACATCTCGTCCTTGCTGAGGGTGAGCGCCAGCCGGAGCAGCAGCTCGCGGTGCTCGGGCCGCAGGTCGCTGAACGACATGCCGCCCGGGTTGACCACCTGGCGCAGCACGTCGTCCACCGTCCGGATACCGTCGCGCGCCTGGATGTGCGCCAGCAGCTGCTTGATGTCCACCCGGCCGTTAATCTCGGCGAAGCTGCGGCTGCGCGGCAGCCGGCCGGGGCCGCCGCCGGAGCTGGTGGTTGTCTCCAGCTGCATGCCGTGCCGGTCGGAGGCGGAGCGCGTCAGGCGCCGGCTGCGCCGCGTGCTGGCCGCCCGGCTGACGCTGCGGCCGCGCTCCGACGAGCTGCGGCTGCTGTGCTCCGACGAGCCGTGGCTGTTGCGCGCCCGGCTGCGGCTGCGGCTCGGTGAGCGGATCGACGAGCCGCGGCCTGCCGAGACGCGGCCGCGCTGCGAGCGGCGTCGCTCGTCCGAGGCCGGCTCGCGGCGCGCGGCGTCCGGCGGCGGCTGCGGCGCGCGCCGGCGCCGCGGCGGCCGGCGCGGCACGTCCGCCTCCTCCGCGCCCGTGTCCACGCTCGAGTTGCTGCCGTTCGAGGTGTCCAGTCGCGGCGAGCCGGCCGCCGGCTCCGAACGCATGCTCGACAGCAGCGCCTGGTACAGGTTGGCCGCTATCACGATGGCGTCCTCGGGCGCGCCGCACACGAAACCGTGGCACTCGAGCGTCTTGACGAGGCCCGGCTTGCGCATTACGCAGGCGAACACGGGCGGGTGGCTGACGCCGAGGGCCTCGGCCGCCAGCTCGGGTGCCAGCTCGTTGTACAGCGTGAACTTATCCTGGCTCTCGGGGTCGCAGATGAGCGGCAGGAAGGCGAACTTGAGCTCCGGCTGGCCGGACGGCGACGTCTGCCGCTTGGCCACGAACTTGACGGCCGCCCAGACGGCGATGGTCTGGAACGGGTTGAAGACCTCCTGGACGCCGCGGTGCAGCTCGCGCACGTACTGCACCTTGACGCCTGTGTCGGTGATCTCCAGACTGCCGGGCAGCGGCGTCTTGCCGCGCTTCTGCTGCACCCGGTACTCCATGTAGAGCCGCTTCAGCGGGAACTGCAGGTCCTCCAGGCGGGTGGCGCGGTCCTCGATCGCCAGCGCGCCCAGGTAGTCCACTTTGAAGCGCGCGCCGCTGGCCGCGGCCGGCCGCGTGGGCTCTGACCTCGGCTCGCCCGCGGCCGGCCGCCGCGTCACCGGCTCGTCTGTCTGCTGCTGCTGCGCCGGCGGCTGTTCGGGGGCCGGCGCCGGCGGCTGCGGCGCCGCCAGCCGTGCCGGCTCCGGCGCCCGGGCCGGCTCGCGCTGCACGGCCGGCTTCTGCTGCGCCGCGTTACCGGCGAACATCTTCTCGATCTGTGCCTGGACGGCGCTGCGTACCTCATGGAACTGCTGGCTGCGGCCCTCGGGCGCCAGCTCCATCACCTCGTAGTCGCTGTTGCTGGCGGCCGCCGCGTCTGAGCTGCCGGTGGCCGAGCTGGCGGCGCGCGAGTCGCGGAACAGCGAGTCGATGCGCCGCTTGTAGATGGACTCGGCGGTGCTGGCGTCCGAGTAGGTGCTCGACGAATCCGCGTCCAGCCGAAAACTGTAGCCGTCCGTGGACGTGGTGCTCCTCATCATCTTCGAGCGGCGTCACCGGCCAGCGGGGGCCTCTGCGCGCGGCCGGGCCGGGCGCACCGCCGTACCGACCCTCCCTGGCCGCAGCTGGCTCCTGTCCGAACAGAACGGAAACGTCAGCATTGGGGAGCGGTACATTCTTCGAATAGGTTACACGGTTTTTGTTACCATTTGGGTCAAGTGTTACCATTTGGGTCAGGATAAGAACAGGATAAGAATAGGCTACACCTCTTCATGTGACTTGGTATGGGATAAAAAGTATATTGCATTCTGAATTTGTGCAGTGTTAATTCACCTGCAGCTTGACTGTCTGTGTTTATGCTAAATGCTTGTTCCTGTCTTGACTGGCATTGCTCTTGGCTCCTGCTACATTGTTTTAGCCTAATAGTGAGCAATATTCAGGTCATAAAAGCTGCAGTACAACACCTAACTGTATGCGTATCGCCGCATCATCGGACCCGTTTTATATCCCCGCCCACTAACGCCGGAAACATTAGGCGATAGCGACCGCAATTTTGCGTCGGCATGCGAACTGCGGATACTCGCACCTGGATCATTTAGCCGGAGCAGGCCCATGAGCACCTCACTTAGAATAGGCCGCTGCCAACGAGCTGCTTAACTCGGCCGGTTCCCGGCGTTTTCACGGTGCCGCGCACGGCCAGCGGTGCGTGTCTGGCGCGCCGTGTTTCACCGGCTCGGCCTGGGAGCGGGGGCGCCGCGCCGCACACACGAGCTGCTCTCAGCCGGAGCGACGGCCGTTCCGCCCGGACGGCGCCGCTGCTTTGCAAACACCTAATGATGATGGATCTCCGCGCCGCGGCCGAGAGATGGTGGCGGAAGCTGCGCCGTGGTGGTGTGGCGCGGCCGGCGGTGGTTTTAGGGAGAACGCGGCAAGGGTGATCACTCCAGGTAACTGTGTATTTCACGGCCGCCCTGATCGCCCAACTAAGGAGCGCCGTTGCATCTTCATCGACCCTCCTCAGACCCTCACTCCTTGCTGGTTCGGCAAATGATGCCGCCTGCCGGCCGGTCTGCGGGTGCCCCGGTGCGGCAGACCCGGGCACGGTGGCCGCCGGTCGGGCAGCGCACGGCAGACCGACCGGCTGGTCCCGGCGGCAGATGGCACACGGGCCCACTCTGAGCGCTTCGCTCCTCAGCCGGCAGCAGCTCCCACCGCAGCCTCTGGCTCGGCCCCGGCGCGTCCGTTCGCACGCAGTCACTGCCGCGGCCCAATTAGAGCCGGCACTCGGTCCTCAGAGGGTGTCATGCAGCGCGCTGGCTCTGAATGAGAGCGCACTGAGCGCGGCCGGCAGCTGGCAGATTGGAGGGAAGGTGTAGTTAAGTGGAAGCCGCTAACTTCGGAGTTCGAGTGCGAATAAATCATCCAATGGTGTCATTTAGTGACATCTGGCTGATCCGCTGCAGAGGCATTACGATCTGTTGGACCAAGTATTCTTTTGTCTAGTTTGGAGTTTGACGAGAAAGGGACCAGCACAAGTGCATGCCACTGCCATGGCTGCCATGTTACTTTCATGTGACATGTTTTTGCTGAACAGCGAGACGAGGCTGGGCACCGCTCAGCGAGAGGAGTGTCCAAGTTTCTCTTTCCGCCCGGTGTCATCTCCGACCAGGCGTGACGGTCGGCGCTTCCCCCCAGTCCAGCGGTGACGGTCAGCACCTCCTCCCAGTCCGGTCAGCGGTGACTGTCAGCACCTCCTCCCAGCCCGGTCAGCGGTGGCTGTCAGCACCTCCTCCCAGCGCGGTCAGCGGTGACTGTCAGCACCTCCTCACAGTCCGGTCAGCGGTGACTGTCTGCCCTCCCCCCAATTCAGCGGTGACGGTTAGCACCTCCTCCCAGTCCAGTGGTGACGGTTAGCACCTCCTCGCAGTCCGGTCAGCGGTGACGGTCGCCAGCCACCTGGGGCTGGCCGTCAGCTCTGGGCCGAAAATTTTCTCGCAGCTGGTCCGACTGCGAGTTTTCGCGACTCGCGTGTCTCGCGGACGGTCGCCTCCTCAGCGGGCCTCGAACAGAGTATAGGTGCTCTGACGGCGGGCTGTCGCGTGTCTCGCCCACGGTCGCCTCCTCAGCGGGCCGCGGACAGATAAATGTGCCGTTCCGGTGGCTGCGCGCAGACTGGACGGACCGCCGGCGACTCACCAACGTGACAGGATACTCGGCTCTCACTTGGCGTGATGTGTGGCTGGACGCGGTCGAGACGTCTCAAGTGACCCCAAAACGAGCGATATGAAAGCTAAGTGTTTGCAAAGCTTTTGCATTGTTGATAGCATACTAGAATAACTAGGACATTGGAAATCTGAAGCTATGATGGCGAGCGTACGAGTGTTTAATTGCAAAACTTGTAGGTACATACACTTTTTTCATGGGCCAATTATTTTTACATAATACTGGGGGCAGTTGATTATTTTAAGTGCCTATAATGATAATCGTTTTATAGGTACCAGCGCCTCAGGAAAATGTACAGTCATAGGATAGACAGTTACGCTTCTCAGCTCTGTGGGAAGTGACGCTTTTAACCAGTGTTTCTTTCCGCTATTGCTATAGCAAGAAAAACGCTCGATTTGTGGTTGTTTGAAATACTTTTTATTCAGTCATCACCAGAATTCAAAGCGCAGCGCTTACACCGAAGAAATATGCATGATGATTGGATGCTATGGACGTTCGTTCCACAGGACATAGAATTAAGGCTTTTGCGTTAATGTGATTTTCATTTTGAAGTGCATCATTCAGTGACAAAGATCAAAGAATTTGGAGGCGTAGAGGCTCCATGCCCTTTATAAGTTAGATTATTAGACCGTGCATTCTGCACTTTTAATTGGACAATTATTCAGTAATGACTTGTGACAATACGCATTCTGTGTTCCAATGGTACTCTCCACTCTTCAGCGTGGGGAGTGACCTACGGCGAACCTCAAATCAAAATCGCCGAGAAGTTTCCATCCCGTCCGAAAAGTAAGCGTCATCTCCTACATGCCTATAGTTTCTCCCGGGAGCATCAGCATCGGCTCAGGCTCCGGGCCAGTGGCCGCAATATACCCTGAGTGGCCGAACTACCACCTGGCTCGTTACCAATCTGGCCCAATGGCACACGAAGCACACATTTCGCACCTCACTACGACCACTTTCACATCAAAAGAACATTTATTAGATTGGCCACGTCTGTCCGGCGCCCATTGAACCGGTTTATGGCCGGCCGCCATCTGCCGCATATAGTCTCCAGTGCGAAGTGGCCGGCAGCTGCTGGCATTGGAGGGCAGCAATGAATGAAATCACTGGGAGCCTGCTGGCTGGCGCGCTGCTGGTGGGTGCGTGGTTCCGCGACATATTCCTTATATATGTTACAGGGAGTATGCGATTTCAGTTAGTTTGCAACGACCCTAGGGTGGTTGTAACCTCCCTGAACGATCAGTTTGTTTGCAACGACCCTAGGGACGTTACAAAATAACTGCTCGTTCCGGGACGTTGTAACGAAACTAGGGTCGTTGCAAACTCCCTAGTTAGTATGCAACGAACCTAGGGTTGTTACAAAATAACTAGGGAGTTTAAGAATTCATCGAGTCTCGTTTCACAGGAGGGCCGTCAACAATCTTTTCCAATGAAAACTTGTTCAATCTAGTTCAGCTTAAGAGAAAAGGAGAACACAATTTGAACATTGCTCAGGAGTATATGTGGTGCCCGGGACAAGGTACTTACGTAACTGTGATAATTTTGGCTGCATTATATCGCCAGCATATGCTTACATGTAGAAAATAGAGTTACTGGGGTAGGTGTGATGGATATCCGTCGCTATCCGTGTGCGGGTTATCCCTCACACTTTTAGGGGTGCGGGTCGGATAAAACCCCTCGTTTTTTCGCGATTATCTCGCGCTAAAAGCGGCCGATCGTGACGAAACTTTGAGTGTCCTCGAACTTATCTACGTTACTGGTTACACATTCCCTATACAGTACATGATCCTGAAACAAATGACCTTTGACCTTTGATCTGATTTCTGAGACCATAGCAGACCGAAATGATTTGCCGTTTATGTTAGCGCACACTAAATTGCGTTTCCAGACTTCTATTGTGATTACATATAAACGTGCCAACATATGAACTGATGGTTGTCCCATGCATCATGATGGGTTTCAAGTTGACTTGTCAGTTGTCGGCCAGGTCAAGGTCATTGACGTTTGGTGACTTCGGGTGACTGTTCCAAATTGTACGATTTTAAGGATTTTTTAAAGCTTATTTCGAATCCAGCATTCGTTGAGACATTTGAGAAGTACGTATAGTTGTGGTGCCAATGCAACTTGCTACGAAGCTGTCGCTGGTGGTTTAGGTACAGCTGCTATAAATATGTGGTGCGGGTGGGACGCCTATAACTACTTGACCCAAACTTACCCAAACCAGCCTAGCTTAATCCTCGCCCCCCCCTAGTTTTTTTTTTTTTCGCGATAGCTCCGAACACGCCAGCAACAGAGAGCTGAAACTAGGCATACCTGACCTTTGATTCAAGCCGGATCTTGTGACACCAACCAGATTTTCAGGTCAGGTCAGGTTACTGACCTATGACGTCATAAGTGGACGGTCCTGAGATGCCGCAACTTCGCAACGCCCTCAGTCCCAGAGGAGCTTTTACAGGGGATGAAACTTACAGAACGTGCATCTCCTATGTAGAAGTCTCACAACTTGTACCTCTAGGATTTTTCCTAAAGATGACATGAGGTCAGGTCGGTCACGTGACCTCAACACTATAAGTCAATTGAGAAAAATGAAAACTGCTATTCTGGCGCCGGGAGCAATCTCAAACTATTGCAAGCACACGGATCGTGATTTCATGCACTCCTTGCAAAAGTTAGATGCTTCAATTTTGCATTGTTGACGTTGCGTGATTATGACGTCACTAGGGTCATACGAGCTTTTCGTCAATAACTCCCGATCAAACTGAGCTAGCGAGTCGGTCAAGCCACCAATGGACTGAGGAAGACCTGCCGAATCGAATAAAATGCAACAGGACCTCTTTTGACCAATTTCACGACCTAGGTTACACGCCTGAGCAAGGCGAGCACGTTTATGCTAAAATCGCGCTCTGACC